ATATATTTATATATAATTTTCTGTGGGAAAAATCCACCCAACTGATAGCTCATCATTCACTCTTAACAGTCCAAATAATATAGCAGAAACAGCAAAGTATTCAAGCAGTTGAACTGTAGGTCCCTTCCAATGGAACTATTCTATTCTATTCTATTCTATTCTATTCTGTTCTGTTCTGTTCTGTTCTGTTCTGTTCCGTTCCGTTCCGTTCCGTTCCATTCCAAAAGAAACAGACATGGTTATTTACTTAACTGGTCAAATTACATACATAAAGACAGAGTGTAGAAACCTGCATGTGTAGTATTGTTTCCAGTAATGAAATTGTTAAAAGTCAGCACTGAGCCAACATCGTTCTAGGAAATGAAAATTACACCTGTTTCTGGGATTTTGAAAGGAAAATAAAACTGTGATCTGTCCTGCTTTACTAGTGTGATATTTGCATTTTGAGATGTGTAATAAAACAGTGCCATTTTGATTCATTACAGACACTTTCATTTCTTGTCTCTACTTCTTTTCACACATATGAGGGAGCAGACATCAATCCTACCTTCCAAGGAAGAATGCTATATAAAAGGTAGAGCTGTTCAGATTGACAAACTGAAAAAGAAACATTTTCAAAGTGAAGCTGTTCTCCCACTCGGATTCAGTACGAGGTTGCTCTGTGGAGAAAGAGAGCACAGTTTCAGAGGTTTAATCAGATCAGCAATTTCCCTTGGCACAAAGGCTGCACACACCTGTCAGAGTTGGCAATGGATTTGTAAATTAGCCTGTTGATTTCAAAATACAAGCTGACAGAAGAAATTGTATCCAAGAGCAGCACGCAGCAAGTGAGCTTGTAAAGACTTAGAAATCTCTTCTGGTATCTGGAGATTAATATTCCCAGCAGACTGTGAGAAAGTGGTGGAGATAATGTGTATATTAAACATCCCTCCAGGATTCCGTGTGTTTTACAGGCTCTGTTTCCTTTTCTGCAACCTAATTTAATAACATTGCCAGAAAATCTCACTACAAGCTATGCAAGTGCCTTTTTGGAGTAAATATTCTTTGTAATTCTGTTTCAAGGATTTGCCCACCATGTTGGCACCTAAGGACTCTACACAGCTATCAGCGGAGTCCCACAGCATGACTTCCATTCCTTGTCCAAGGGAACTCATCACAGAAGACTGAGAAAAAATATTTTGCAGTGGGTGAGCGAAGGCGAATAGGAAAGAGGAAAGACATATTCTTTCCTTCAGGTAGGCCCCTAACCTCCATCTAAAGGAATATCAAGACAGGAGTTAACAAAACAACTTCTGTGTCACCACACCAGTGCCTGGTGTGTGTCCTGGAACTCTCTTCCAGGTGGCACAAGCTTATTAGTCAATCATTGCTGTGAACAGGAGTAATCAGAGGAGAAGTGGAAGTACTAATGGTGATTCATAATGGATCATAACAGTAGTACTCATATACTACTTCCAAAGGAGCCTTCAGTAAAGTACTGGAAATACAGAAACAACGATTAATCAATTAGAGCTGCCCTACCCATGAGGAAATTTCATATAGATTCATCAACAAAACCATAAACCAGATCATAAATTAACAACTGTGTTGGTGATTTGGAAATGTCTATCAAGAGATCCATTAGCTAAGCAGGAAGAAATCATGGATATTTGATGCCAGTCTGTGGGAAGGACAAGTTTGACTTTGACAAGGCTGCTGCAGCTGCAGCTTTGCTCACGTGCCTGTCAGAGACAACGGCAATGCTCTGGAGGAGCACGGACATGAGCTCTGAAAAAGGTCATGTAAATGCTGAAGAAGGACATCTTGAATGTAGCTTTTCTGCCAGCCCTACTCTGAGCTTATTACACTGATAAAGATCATTCAAACCAAATCAGCTACTGAGGCCAACAGAGTGAAAACCACAAAACAGCCTGAGCATGATCAGAACAGCCTGACCCACTGAGTTTTCATACAAGTGCTTTCAGCACAGGCTGCCAGGAGCAGACCTACCTTGATGATAACCTGGCAGAAAGTAATCAGGCTTAAAGGTCTCTAGACCATATCTTTCGGTGCCCAGAGTGTCACAGGGAGTAAAAGGGCATAGCCTGTGCAAACTACAAACTTCAAAGTCATATATTTCTTAACTGTAACTAGCAGTTGCAGGGTATAAGGACCAAAATCAGTACAACATCATTCAGTTTTGTATTTAAAATTGCTTACCTAAATTTGTCAGGAAAAGAGCAACCTTTTCATATAGCTGTAACACAGAAGAAATAACCTCTTAGATATGTGACAAGCTCAAAAATACAGAATTGCTTTATGGGTAGAGTAACTGCTCTTACATGTCAAATCTGACATCCAAATGGTCTCTGTGATGTTCCGATAATGATAACAATAAAACTATATAGTAATAATACATTAATGTTATAATCAAACAAGGAACAGTAATATTTTTGAAGTTTACACTCAGCTCTTCTCATCCACAACATATGGAGAAAAAAGTGCTGTCATTATCCCTCCTTTACATACATGGTGAAAAAGGGTGAGATAACTTTTCCAAAAACATGAAGCAGAACAATAGCACAACTGGGATTTTTGTTTTAGATACTTACCGAACATTTATCTCACAAAAAAATCACCCTAGTAAGAGCATGCTCTGGTGTGGTGGGTATTTTGCACTTTTTGGTTTAGTTTGAGATTTTTTTGGTGAAAAGAAAGACACTGGGGAGACAGAAAGTCTTTAGTAAACCCCACCACCAGGCACATTTCTTACTGTGAGTCAGCGATATTGTTCTAAATCCTAAGTGGTACTTCCTGTGCTTAGCAGATACCATGCTCAAACTCTCTGGAAGACTGCTGGAAGAATCATGAAGGTGACAAAAAACAACTTGGAGGGTTTTCACAATTAGTATTTGCAAAGGGGTTTTGAATCTATTAAGTGCCTCATCACCATCATCAGCGTCAGTGTAAATTAATACAATGATTTCTCTTTGCTTTAAACGAGTCTGGAGCCTGTCCTCACAAAATGCTAAATGTCCTTAACTGTCACAGATGCCTACAGGAATAAAAAGCTCCTCGTACTGCAGGCTCAAGTACTTACTCCTAAGGTGCACAGTAGCAATGTTTCTTTTCATTTGCAGTTATCCTTATAAACCCTTGCTTAAATTGAGTTATGTACAATTTACAGATTAAACTGCCTGCTTAAGAACTGAAGTCGTTCTGGATTCTCTCATCCATGTTAACAAACATTTCTTGCTTAGAACAGCTTTTTGCTGCCTTTGGAGAAAACAGTTTTGTTTCAAGTAATGAAAAAGTTGGTTTCTTCCAGATTTAAAAGCATCTCTGAAGGGCAACTGTAAAAGTCTTAAATGTCTATGTGGTTTATATCCTGATCCCAGCAGGGAGTGTGCTGTTTTACAAATGAGCACTGCTTTGCAGAAAGGGGTATCAAAACTGTACTTTGTTGCTATTCCTCCTGGAAGAGTATGAGTCTCTTATGGATTCTCTTAACAATATTTGGATCTAATGATCTATTACTGCACTACTAGCCCTAAGGGGCCTTGTTTAGAATCATATTCCATTCTGTCTTCATATTTTCTATGGGCGATATCATTAGAATTAACAGGTTTATTAACCTAGGTAAAGCTAATGATTGCTCCCAGGTCAGGCTGCAGGATAATCTGAAAGACATGTTTGAAGGGCATTTCGTTTTGTCACAGCAGATGTGTCAATGTATGTACCTAGCTCTCAGAGCATCCAGTCTAGAAGTTACTTGTGGTCTAGACCTTTCCCTGCTGTTTTGAAGTTGTCAACAACTATCAGAATCACTGGCGGCTTCCCAGGTTTCCTGGCAGGAAACTGTTACCAACATCTTTGTCCATTCTGGTTTTATTGCAGTATCTTTGCTTGCTCTCCTGCTACTTTTCTTGAGTCACAGTTTGTAGAGGATTCAACTACTTGAATTATTCTTGGGGATATTTTTTTTCCTCAAAAAAAAAAAAAGCCACTACTGTCCTTCAGGAAACTTCAGTAATCAATTACAGGAAGTGAGGGATTATATTAAGTCTTTCTTTTGAAAAGCTCCTATAGTTTCATATTTTGGGGATCTTTTGCTTCCGTGAGCTATATCCAGATCTAAGGCTGTGGTGTTTATTGCATGGTAATGACGCTTAAGAAATCCATCTTTGCAGTGCTCTGCTTATTTGATCTGTTATAGGAAATAAAGTTTCTCAAAAGGCACCTTCAAGCCATCTTCCATTATTTGAAAAATTGCTCTAAGCTGTAAAACTCTTTGAGAACCGAATAATTTTGTTTGTGCAGTATGTCTTTATTGCTGTTTCAATGCATATACATTGACTTATACTGAGAGCTTGGAAATGGATGTTATACTGACATAGATATATATAGCTTTCCTTTTATTTCTTCTGTGCTTATTGTGTGCTCTGAGTGGATGAAAGAAAACCCCCAAAAGCTGCAGATAACAAACAATAAATAAAAAATAACATAAAAGAAGAGCCCTCAGTACAAATTCACAGAGTAGCAGCTTCCACTTTTGCCTTTTGCCCTTTCTCAGCCTATAGTCCCACCTTAGGGAATATATAGAAAACTCAATTCCTGATAGACTGTCCTAGTCACCAACCTAGTCCTGCCTATGTCAAAAGCAAAAGTGGAGTACTGCAGCAAAAATTCTTGGAATTCCCTGCTGTGTAAATGAGGGGCTGTTAAAATAATTTTTTAGGTGATGGAAATACTTGGGTATTGTACAGGAAAGAAAGTAGTCTCCAAGCCAGCATTTGGAAATGTGCAGGCTTGATGTAACATCTCATAATTCCCCTAGGAACTAAGCCAGCAAATCACCAGAAGCAAAGCCTGACATGTTTTTGCAGATGCTGCTGCTGAGTGGGTAGAGACACTCCACACTCTCAACTGTAGGTTGATCCCTCCTCCCCCTTATAATGCGTTCTTATAAGGTCAGTTGGTAAAAACCTGACAGTAAAAGTCCATTGACCTCTTTCCAAAGACAACTAGAAGAAGACACATTGCTGTCACAGCAATATTAGGGAAATACCTGCATCTCAATGGAAGGATGAAACTCATTCCCCAGCTAATCTATGACATACTGTCTTTCTGGGGATGTTGCCACATAGAAATTCCATTTTTGTCTTTGCCTCAAGTCTAGTTCCAAACCAGTTGACAACAATAACCTGATCCCAGCCAGGCCCCCTAGAATGCCCCCAGGCCATGTCTCTGGTGTACCCTGGCAAATGCCATAGGTGGCTCATCATTACATGATGTTTTGGGTTTGTAATTGTACTTTACATAGTGACATCCATAAACCATAATGTCATGACTGCCTTTGTAAGACACTCAATTCTGAAAAGGAATTGAAAACATTTGGTGGTCTGTAGACCTGATGGCTGGGGTATAACTTTGGCTGTGTTAGTTTTACTCACCACATTCAGTAGCATGATGATGCAAAAGTTGATGCACACTGCAGTCCCTGTAGTTGCAACCTGAGAGTTATTCCTGATTAAAGCCCACTTAAAGGCAGCAAAAGTGCTGACAGTCACAACACGGTAAATAACAATGCCAAAAACAGCAGCAATCACCACACAGATCTAAAGGAAGAAAAAATCAGAGAAGAATCTGAAAACTTTCAATAGAACAGGAGTTAACTTCTCCCTGAAATACTGAAAACTAAAACAATTAAATGAAAAACTTTTGATTCATTTTGATTTTAGATAAAGGTTTCAACAGGAGTATTTTTCTTATTGTGAAGTCCTTTTTACTTTCCATAATGCAAAATATCTTTGAAATATTATTAACATAATCTTCAGTTTTAATAATTTTCTTGAAAGTGTACTTCTTCCTTAGCATTGATATTGGAAAAAGTGTTGCCAGCTCTGGGAATCAGAAATTTTCTTTGCGTGCATGTTCCATGATGTGGAAAGGGTAGCCTCAAGCTAATGTCCCAGCTTCGTGGGGACAGATTTTGTGCTTTGATGAATGTCAAACAGGAAAAAAAGCATCTCCATTTGTAAGCACTGCCTCAACAGGCAAGGTGTCCTAGCAGGGTGTTCCTTGCTACACTTGTGGAAAAACTCTATCTAGGGAAAGTAACAAATTCATTTGCCCTGGTAATTTCTTTTCTGAAGAGACTTTCAGCAAATGTGACTGTTATAATGTGAAAGCCGTGCAGCTGAGCTGGGCTGCTAAACCACTTGATGTTCGATATTCAACAATTGAGTGCTAAATGACAACTGGTTACCATCGTGACTAATTTGTGTCACAGATTAGCAAGCCACCTAAAGGACAAACAGTTTGAAATTAACATGTGTGACTCATCTCATAAAAACTCCGACACACTACCCGTTAGCCACCTTACTAGATGAAGAGAGTTTCTTCAGTAGAAGGTAGACCACTATTTGCAAAAGACAGGTGTATTCCAAGGTTATTCATAGACAACTTTAACCTTATCAAAATTGAAATATATTTAAACTAATTGAATGGGCAAAATAATTTTGAAAGCACTGAATACTAATCAAGCTGCTTTCATATTTTATTAGTTACCAAGTTGATTGACATGACCTCAGTGCAGAAGAAAAAGGAAAGTGTGTGTGAATGTGAAGGATTGCCTCTGGATACCCTGCATAGTATTCATAGGAATAAGGACCACTTTCCTTTGTCAACAGGGAACCACTAACCTGATTTAAGCTGTATGAGTAACTGCACGGTGAGAGTCAATGCGGTGAAATTTTGAAAACTGCTCTAACTTGAAGTTTTTGTAAGTGTACACTTCCTGTGATTAAAGCTATAATTTTTAAGGACTATTTTTACCTAAATGGGGGAAAATTCAGAGTTTTTCTAACTCATTGGGAGGCCATGCTATGCCAGTAATAAAAAAAAATATCTTCAGTAAAAACAATCCTTGACCTTCTTCAAGGACTGTTATGGGGACAATTTGTGGTGCATGCAATTCAGAACAAGGCTACTCTCTCTGGCACTTTGAACAAGATCTGTCACTAGGTTAAGAAGATAAACGGCTGCATTTGCCAAAGGTAGGGAATGAAAATTGTCCCCTTCCAAGAAGAAAATGAAGTAGGGAAAATATGCAAAATGTTGCGAGCATAGAATCAATTTTCAGCACAGACTGCAGTCCCGAGCAGACATAATTGTCTTCAAGGGCTGAGTCAGACAGTATGTTGGCACCTTGTGCCCAGTGTTTCTCTGTGTATCTCTGTCTCTGACATACCACAACACAGTTCTTTTCAATAACATTCTTGCCTTTCTTGTCCAAGATTGCTTTGGACAGGTTTGAAGCCATCAGTTTCTTAGAAGCCCTCTGTCCTGTTCCTTTCCATCTCATTCAAACACAAAGCTGCTGAGCTAGCTCACCAACCTGTCTCTCCATAGCTCCTGAAGTTATACACATATATAATTTTCTAACCTCCTGGAAAAGCCCTAGGAAATTCCATGAGGGTCTGAGTTGATGCTGGCTGTGTTTTCAAGACCAGCTCTACCATTGTTGTTGTCGTGGGAATAACAGCAAATGAGAGCTTCAATGAAGTTAGAGGATGGGGGCATTTCAGCAGAAATGCATGCAGCTCTCTGTTAGAAGAGATTTTGCTGCTGCATTTAATTTTGCACTTTGGAAAGGGGAGAAATGCCTCATTTTAGACAAGGAACATTGGCTTCTCCATTTCAATTTCATTAGGAATATGAATCCTCTTTCCTTACCTCCCTAACACATTGAAAAATTACGACGTGTTAACATCATTAAGCACTCTAGGCACCTTAGCTAGGTTTTCTGTAGAGTTTACAAAGAATGACTGCCTCTTCCATTGCATCTTTCCCCATCACTCTGTGCTATCTACACAGGGAAGGCAAGGAAATCAGTGAGCTAATTCAGTCAGCTGAATGTTGGTGCCTAAATGTGAAAATGTCACTATCCTGACATGTGTGTTGCTACTTATAATGTTATGTGTATAGCCTTGGAGGAAAGACTTAACTATCTGTGAGATTTGGTAAAGAGTAAACTAGTGTAGGACTTTACAGAAACTCAGGTGATTTGCTATGTACAGATTTTCATATTGCAGTAAACATTCTAGAGCTTATTTCACTTTCAAGCAGTCATATCCAGTACCTCCATACTCTCTCAGCAGAGAGAATGTTATGTATTTTTTCAACTGGTAAATAAATAAAAGTTCTCAAACCATAAAAAATATTCCAGATGCAGAAACAATGAGTCTGCTGCATTTATCTGCAAATGCTTGATAAGGCTCTGGCTTCCCGGATATGGGGTTCATTCGTTCTTTCTTGGAGTACTTGGCTTCAAACTGCGGACGTATTTCCTCCTAAAGAACAGAGAGACATGCAGTACAGCTAGGAAAGATTCTGTAGGAAACTTCAGACCATTTATCAGATCACTGTTATTGAGAATTACATCTTTGAATTCAGCAGCTGGCACAGCTACTATAAAAGCAGGAGAACTAGAATAAAACGCTGTACCCATAAAATCATAGTGGAAGTATTTAGTAAACTTTCCAATTAGCTACTTATCTAAACAATACTTTTTCAAACTGTATCACTGTAAAGCAAATCATTTTAAGGTTGATATTACAGAGCTTTCCAGCCTGCTATTATCCTATTGACACTGGAATTCTACAACAAAGAAAACAAACAAATAAACAAACAAACCAACCAACCAACAAACAAACCAATCAACCAATCAACCTCCTCCTTTTGCCAAACTCAATTGCTGTTTGCTAGGTAATTGGCTACCTTCCTATTATCAGGAAAAGTTTCTCGGCATTTGAAGAAAGAGCCATGACATCTAATATTACTTAATTCTTTCCTAACTTAGACAATAATATTAGCAAGAACAGCTTTCAGCAGCAGAAACACCAAGTCTGCTTTGCCATAAAACCCTGAAACCTAGGGATTTCTTGTAGAGACACTTAGTTATATCCATTTACAGCCTTGTCATAAGACAGGGCTCACCCTCAGTTCGGGTAAGACCTCATGGTTTTCAGCTGCAGTAGGGCTACCCCACTGCTCTGCCATCTGGGAGGTTCACCAACAGCTGCTTGTCCTGTGCCACCTCACTCGATTCTGATGTTGGGGATGCTGTCAGAGATGAGAGAAAGCACCAGGCTGGGAAGAAAGAACTCTCACAGCTGCTGGCAGTCTATATATATTAAATTAATCTTTACGATGTTGTGAGGCATACTGGAGAACTGGCCCATGGTACAGCTGGCTACAAGGGAGCACAAAGGCAGCTATGGACTGTCTTTGCAGCCTTTCCACCAGGCCTCTGCTGTGCATTTCTTTGTAACAACCCAGAACCTTTCTTACCCATTTTTGTCACTTCCAGCAGTTCAACTGCATTTAATTGAACTTCGACTGAGTGCAAGTTGTAAATGCCTGAGCCTTAAATGACTGCATTGAAATAGGTGAATGCTAACTGCTCATACAAGTCTTTAGCATGGGAATAAAATTAAGCTATCCTAAAATCCTATATCCCTTTAATAAAATCCCCGTGTGGGGAAAAAAAAGAAAAGTCATCACATTCTCATTCTCAAATTTTGAAGGTACTTTTTCAATACAGTTAATTTCCAAATTCAAGCAGCAACCTGCTAACACTGTGTTAAAAAAAATTAAGCGGCATATATGCTGAGCTGCAATGCCCGTGTAGCTAATTAAGTGCTTGAGGGAACAAGCCCTGCATTAGCTGTACACAAAGAGCAAGCCTGTTTTTGTGGAGGTAGGGTAACACGTTGCTCTTCTACGTTACAGAATCACAGAATCACACACAATCACAGAATGTTAGGGACTGGAAGGGACCTCGAAAGATCATCTAGTCCAGCCCCCCCGCTGGAGCAGGAACACCTAGACGATGTTACACAGGAAGGCATCCAGGAGGGCTTTGAATGTCTCCAGAGAAGGAGACTCCACCACCTCCCTGGGCAGCCTGTGCCAGTGCTCTGTCACCCTTACTGAGAAGAAGTTTATTCTCAAATTTAGGTGGAACCTCTTGTGTTCCAGTTTAAACCCATTACCCCTCGTCCTACCATCGGTTGCCACCAAGAAGAGCCTTGCTCCATCCTCGTGACACTCATCCCTTACATATTTATAAACGTTAATTAGGCCACCCCTCAGTCTCCTCTTCTCCAAACTAAAGAGACCCAGCTCCCTCAGCCTTTCCTCATAAGGGAGATGCTCCACTCCCTTAATCATCTTGGTTGCTCTATGCTGGACTCTCTCCAGCAGTTCCTTATCCTTCTTAAACTGAGGGGCCCAGAACTGGATGCAATATTCCAGATGTGGTCTCACCAGGGCAGAGTAGAGAGGAAGGAGAACCTCTCGTGACCTACTAACCACTCCCCTTCTAATACACCCCAGGATGCCATTGGCCTTCCTCGCCACAAGGGCACAGTGCTGGCTCATAGTCATCCTGCTATCCACCAGGATCCCCAGATCCCTTTCCCCTCCACTGCTCCCTAATAAGTAAACGTTGCTCTAACTGTTCCTACCACACCAGGGCTGAAGGCTGAAGACCATAATCTAGCAAGAGAAACGATAGAAGAAGTATTCCTGTGTGCCCAGGGACATGCAAAAGGACAGAGTGTGATAGCATTGAAGAAGAGCGCTTGAGAATTCCACCCTGTAGGTTGTGCAAGGGCTCTGCCAGCTGACTTACTGAGTCATATACAAGAAACCCTTTCTTCTCTGTATCTGTCTCTAAGCCAAGGCTTGATCATCTTTTACAGTCTGCACTATAGAGAAGTCCTTGTCATATCCACATGTCCATGAATCTAGGTATCTCCTATGATCTCCGGTCAATTCAGATAATATCAATGGTATGTTTAGAGATACATCTCCACAGAAACCCTGAAACTCTGGCATGAACATTCGTGCCTGTATAACATTGCTCAGCGATGCTGAGTGTAGCTTGGGGAAGGAAGTAAACAGTACTGTATCTGGCTGAGATTAGTTATATCAAGAAAGTGACACTGAAGAAAAAGAAAAAAAGTATGCTGCAAATAGAAACAGAAGCCATATTTCAGCTGAGAGTGCCAGGCAGTAATTCTCTGCAGTTGGTTTCCTGTTGCACACCCAACCAAGACTCAGTTACTCTCCATGTCTCCCACCTTGCAGCTCATCTACATGAAAAGGAAATCTGGATATGCAGGGTTGAAAGAGCCAGAGCACATTCAGCCTGGACACTGCTGGAGCTGCTGCGTGCCTGCCTCAGATGAAAATCCAAAGTTGTGAGGAATTCATGAGGTTAAATATGGGAACAAAATTTAACTCTCCTTCCCATAGTCTTCATTGTTTCATTTCATTGTCTCTTCATTTAGAACAGAAAAGTAACAATGAAGTGATAAGAAGACTTACAACCGTTTTTTTTTTCCCAATCTCTTTTTGGTTAGAATTAATAAATTCCCTATTTCAAAAACTTATTCTTCAATTTGACCATGAAAAGTAAAGCAAGTAAAAGCTAGACATGGCAGATATGCTAATACAAATAACAATGTTCATTAACAAACGCTTGTGACTTAAAATGGTAATTAGAACTCTTTAATTGATTTCTTTGAAATAGCTAATAAAAGAAATAAGCTGATTTTGTCCAGTGATAACTGAATGGAATGTACAGAGGAAATTTAAGTAGCAGCTATTTTTTAGAAAGCAGCAATTTCAGGAGTAAAATTTTCACCTCACGGAGACAAAATTCTCACTGAATTGTACAACTTCATGATCACACTCCACAGGATTAGTTTTTTTTCAGTCTACATAAACTGGACCATTCTCCTTTCTTTTTGCTTCTCAGACATGGATCATTCCAATTCTTCACTCACAGGAGAAACCATACTTATTTCTGCAGTGTCAAATATGGATTAATGTACACTGCCACAGGCGAGATGTTTGTGCACTAGAAGACTTGCTCTAAATCTTTTTGTGAAATACATTCTTTGCTTTCAGGAGGCTTTTGAGTCCTTCAACAGGTGTATTCTTGCAGGAGTCCTATCCTTCCTAGTCCAAGGATATATTGTCCTCCATAGCCCAGATATAGAAAAGGGATTTGTGAAAGACTGAAAATCTGAATCTTGATCACTGGGACAGTCATAGCACCGCCAGAAGTAAGTGTCCTTGCAAAGCCTGTGGTTTGCAGGTCATCCTGCTTGCAGCTGAAGGCAATGGCGAGGTGAAGAGGTGAATTTTGAACAGGGAAATGATCTCCAATGGTTTTTAACCAGAGACATCTTCTTCCAAATTGTGCGTATCTCAGAGGCAAAGTCCTGCAAAGACCCCAGTGCCAATGGGTCAAGCGCCAAGTGCAGCGTTCACTACTCAAGAAGAGGAGGAAATTGTCCATAAAGCTGACCTTAAAGCAAAGACATGCTTGAGTTCTGCAACAGATACAAGCATTGGCAGATGTAGCACCTTCAGAGAGGACACCTCTGGGATGCAATCAACTCACACTCTTAGGATCCCACTGAATGCAGAACAGAGAAGAACTGATTCCTCAGATGCCAATGAGATACTGATGCTCTGACGACTGGTCACATAAATCTTTGAGAAGCAGCCAGTTGAGTTCCAGTTGGAATCTTTAACTTCTAATTTGAGAGAGAAGGGTACCATCTGGCACACTGCTTCTGAAAAGACTGCTACCTCCTGCTGTAGAGACTTACAGAACTCTGTTTGGAACTGTAAGAAGGTGCAATGAATAACTCTGGAGCTGGTACACTCACCACTGCCCCAGGGCACCTGACTGAGGTCCTGTTGATAGATCTTATTGGAAAAAAAACTGGTGTAAGAATAAAAGACCAGCTGACCATTAGCAGGGAGCAGGTGTCCTCTGAAAATTACCAACGTACATATGTCATCCTGCAGGCCAAACTGAAATAATCTGCTGGTGGAATGTAAGCATCTCTTATAAAAAATAACATTATTTGATAGATGTCATAAAATTAACACATTATATTTCTGTGAGGATAGTTTCAAATACTGGAAGCTCTTTCAGGCTTTCTGAGAGGAAAATTGTAGCAACTCCACTCTATTCTGTCTGGTCAGTGTTTATTCCAGCTAAAGGATTAATTGCATAGGAATGGTAATACTGTTCCAAAAAACTTAAAAAGCAGAGAGTGAAAAGGGCCTCATACTGTACTCACCTGTGCATTTTGTTAGTTTAAGAACTCCTTCTCATTCTGGGGACACTGAGATATAATCCTGACTTGGAAACTGCAATTTGGTACATCTGGTTTTTGCCTTAGCTGCCAGCACCAGCAGTGACTTTTTTGCAACTAGCCATGAGGGGGCGTGATCACTGCAGTTCAATCCCGACCTGAGGCAGGAATATCTGTGCAGGCTCTCTGTGGCCCGTCAGCCTTGGCAAGAGCAGGCTGCTAAGCTCTGAAGAGTTAAATCAGCATTAGAGTATTTTCAAAATATAAGACAATAGTCCTGAAGCAGCACCAAGAACTGACCGCATTTGTGCACAAATAATGATGTTCCCGTTGCTATACAGAAACCAATTTCCAGTTGTATAAGTTATTTCATTTTATGTTCTTGGATTATTTTCTCAGTCATTAAGCATTTAAAACCAAATCCTATCAGCAAGTGAGCAATTGTACCATTTCATGGCCTCATTGAACTACATTGCCTTGTAGAGACAAAAACCCTGTAACTCAGAAGTCTGTTTCTGCACTGGAGAGATTAATGAAAAAGAAATTCTTCCAGAGAGGTAACATTATAGAAGTTGAATTGCATTGAGGCCACTACAGCAGTTTCTTACAGTCCCTCCAAGAGCTTCAGGACAGTCTCTGGAGAGGAAGGACGGCAGACTCGGTGGACACCTCTATGGCCAAATCCCATCCGAGGAGCACTTTTTCTGCCACACCCACTGAATCTTGCTTTTCTCCTGTATAACAAAACCTTCTAGTTCCACTTAGACCTCAACTCTCAGTCCCAACAAAATGCTGTTTCCTTCCGCTAACTACCACAGGAAAAGACTAAGGCTATTTTTTGCTGTTTAGTTTCATCTCTAGGGGGATTTCCTCTGCTAACAGAGGATGAATGAAGTTCTTTGAGACAGTTCATCTCCGTCAGTCTCTCTCTAGCACTGTATACTTAGATAACCAGCACCCAAGCTTCACAAGGCTTTCTCTCCATCAATACTCTTAGCAGCTATCTGGCTCATTTGCCAGAATTCTTGGAACTCAGGGCTGTTGAGAATTTCCCTGGATTCAACCCCAAATTTGATTATCTCCCCTCAAAGTGCATTTTTTTTTCCTGAAATCTCCCACAGTGACAGCCACTGATACGATGAAATTAATTTACATTTACAAATGTGTAAAAAGAGAGGATAGTTTGGCCTGAGGAAGGTTTCTTCACATTACAGAGGAAACATCTGAGAAGAAAACAGTGCTTATTTCCTAGTTTATGAAGATTTGAAGAACAAATTGAAAATAAATCAAAAAGAAAAACATGCTTACATTTTTAACCAAATCTTTTTGTATTAAAGATTGAGTACATATTTTATACAAACCTCCTCTTCTTCCCAGTCTATCAAGTCCCAGTCATAGGCAATTACTGCTCGCCTTCTTTTCCAAAACTCCAGAAAAACAGTTGCTAGAATAAATAGAAAAAAAATACAAAATTGTTTTCAAGTCAAGAAAATGTTAATGACTATTGCAGAACTATTGAATAAAGCTGCTACATTATTTTCATTTCTTTGCACAAATGGGTTCCTTTGAACTGCAAATCAAGCTGATGATCAAAACTGCTTTCAAAAAGCATTGCTTTCTAAGGATTACTTTGCTTGCTTCAAGTATGATTGAGGCTTTAGAGATTTCTTTTAATGCTAAATGAGAATATTTAATTCCTAACCAACCAAGACAGGACTCTGAAAGAATAAAATTGTTCCTGTGACTCACCATTACTAGATACAGCAGATTTCTGATAAAAATAAAGGTTTCTCGGGGTCACTGTAGATAAAGTGGGAACCTCTCATTTTTGAAGGCCATTTACAGAACCCAGAGGAAGCACATTCCAATGCATGTGCAAATCTGTGGAATACTGACAAGGAAATGGGAACTTCTGTTTTACACCTTTCTAATCCAGACCATTTCTTTCATGCTACATGAATGTGTATATGTGGTGTGGCATTAACATCTGACAATTAAACATTCTGTGCTGTACAGCCCTTGTTGACTGAGTTCAGGATAGTTCCACTAGACAGGCAAATATGCCTGTATATGACTGCACTTCCATTCTGCGATGGAAAAAAGAATCAAGCAAGCACTCAGTCATAAAATAAGATGTTCATATTCTGGAGATTAATACTGACTCTGTTTATGGTTACATTTAAAAAAAATTATTTTGTTAAAAGAATGTAGAAGCTGCCTAAATCTAACGCACATCAACGGAAAACTTTATCTCCCACTGTGAGGTTTGGCACTTCCCTTTATTGCTCACTGAAAAGCATCAGGCTGGTAACTGCAGAGAACATAAACCTCTTTGTTCATGTGCTAGCACAGAATCAGCTGTGACAGTGCCACAATAGACTGGCAATACGTTCTACATCCAGTCCTAAAAGCATCTCCTAAACGGACTATCTGCCCTACTGCAACACATTGATAATGACATGACATGATAATAAGCACTGGCATCAGGTTGGTGAAAGTGAATTTTTAGCCAGTAAGAATGATTATATTTTAACGTATTAGCCAATGCAGCTAAGATATGCCTAGAAAATGAGCACTGTGAGCAGATAAGGTAAGATATCAAAAGCATGTTTAAGAAGGCAGCTATTTGGTTTGAAGGCATTTTCATATATCACATCATCTTTTTTCTGAAAACAAGAGTTATGTTACACCAGGTAACCAGCTGCTTTGATTTAATCTAATAAAGAAGGTCAATTCAGTCTCCTGAGCCTAACATTTCTACATTTTTTTTTTGTAAAAAATGCAGCATTATTGGTTAAGATCAGCAAAACTTAAAACTGCTAATGAGGCTCTGCTGCTGCTGGACCACCACATTGTCCATTCCTTGCCTTGTCTTCTGGTGAAGTCGCTCCTTTCCTTTCAGCTCGTATGGAATTATTTTGTACAGGCTAAACAAGTAGCCCTGCACTTCTTGGAGACCTGGGAGAAACAAACCTGATTGATTACTACCACTCTGTTTCCATTCCAAAAAGCAGCTGGAAGCAGGACTCAAGTGGACATCTAAGTCCACAGGCATCAGCCTCTTACATATGTCTGTGCTGAAGTGTACTTTTTTCTTTCTTGTTTTTCACACACCTGGAGTGAGGAATCTGTATGTATTGTAGTAAGCATATTTAGCACCTGTCAGAGTAAGTATGAGCAGCTCCTGAAGCTTCTTTAGAAAGCTATTTTCAAATCATTAAGTAGTAAATAGGATGATCTGCACCATGCTGTTTTAGCTTTTACTGTGCTACACTTTTCTTCCTCTATCCAGGTCAGTATTCACTTTTCCCTTGCTAGGTGTTTTAAAATGTGCTATAAATAACCACCTTTGATTGATTCACTGTACTACGGAGGTCTTCTAAAAAGTATTGCATTTTGAAATTTCTCTGCCTCTTTTCTAGTCAAATAATCAGTAATACCCTATATCACACTTTAACTTTCTTTTTGACTTTGACAGCTCAACAGAACACAGTTGTACTTACCTTTCTCTCATTTTCCAACTGGTATGTGTAAAATGGATGCTTAGAGTTCTCCAAAAGTCCTGCTTAGAATTTTGAATTTCTCATTGGCCTTAACTCCCAGGTCTTTTGCTAGCTTTTCTATACTATGTTTGCCCTGCTTTAGAGCTCCACCTTGCAGCTCAGTCCCCAATGCCCATCTGTACAAACTGCCTTAACATAATTTCATCAGATGCTTTGAAACAAGTTCTGATCTTACCTAGTAACATAAATGGCCTCTCACAGCAAACAGCTTAATCCTGACCTTCTCTCAGAAATCCTTCCGCCGTTGTATTTCAGAATACCATTTAATATATCCATCCTGACTTCTGGAGTATATTCTCTATACAAGGAATATTGCTGAAGAACCTCCTTAAATTCTGTATCCTCAGAGAGCAGATCAGTGTGAATGTTTTATGCTAGAGGCAAGGTTTGTAGGAAAGTAGTATCTTTTATTAGACTGATATACTCAGAAAAAAATGTTTTATTTTGGTATTTCTTATTGCTTGAAAAAAATGTTACTTTCTTCATGCCAGGCTTTTTTTCGCCTCTCAACTTTGCCTTTCAGCAAGTGCTTTAAGGCTACTTTATCAAGGAAACATGCTTCTAGGCAGATAAGAAGATATTTCAGAAAGGACTCTTCTTGCGTCCCGTATTCCTCCAAAGCTATGCAGAGACAGAGAAATTTCCATCAGCCCACCTTGTTTCTAGCAAAGCATTAGAAATGATAAATAGCTGGACTTTCCTCCTACACAGTTACAGAACTTCGCTACTGATCTTCAGGAAACACCTAGACAGCAACATTTTTGCATTGGCTTTCCCCAGTATTTCAAATGAAAAAGCAAATGTTACAAATACATCTGGCTTTCCAGCAACATGCTAGGAATCAACTGGTTATCAAATCTACCCGTTTTCTTTTTTTCTGAGAATGACATTTTTTTCTGCAATTTAAATGTCAATGTTTATTTAGAATTAACATGTATCTGTCATTTTCCGTCTTTGGTAAGGATCCAGTTCAGATAGTAAAAAGAGAGGAGTTTTTTCCTAGAAACAGAATTTACCTTTTCATCAAGCTCAACGTATCTCAAGGCATACATAAAGGGCAAAGTGTAGGTATTTCCCTCTAGCACAGAAATACAAAAAATGCTATTGCTCCCCTCTTTTTGAAAGCTTTGAACATTGGAAAAATATCATCAAGACTAAAGATTCTCAAAAGGAAAAATTTCTTTTCTGGCTTCTGAGATGACAAAATCTCAGGGAGCATCAATAACAATCTGTTCACCAATAAAATAAAGTATTAGTGTTTATAGGGACTTACCGTTTCCTATAAATCACAGAGATTTATAGCTTTAGTCCTTATGAAAGGTTTTTTTAAATTCAACAAGAGCTCCAATACAGAAAAGTTTACACAAACTACTAGTGATTCCTTCAGTGTGTTGAAGGGAGACTATCTTTTGTCCTTTGCTACATCAGTTTAAAATGAAAGTTGTCTTATGTCTTTTGTGTACATCTCAGTAAATGTCATTGGGGTTTTTTTTATTATATCAATTACCCTTACTTCTTACCTAGAACTTTGTTTAAACCGGGCAGAAATACAAGAGAGGTGATGGGTCAATATAATTTTTGAAGAAAAGCATGTTTCTATTCCAGTATCTCCTGGTGCATTTGTCAATTCCAACTTTAATTTGATGAGACACATTTATCCCACAATGAAACACTATAAAAGATGGGTCACTGTACTTTAGAGTCCTACAAACCAGGCAGCTCGTACTGATACTTATTGTGGTAATTGCTCTCCCTAGCTTGGCCACAGCAGTTTGTGCATCATTTGGAGATGCATTTTATTTTTATTTAAAAAGTGAGAAATCTACTTTGTTTATCAATTAGAGGAAACTCCAGTACAGATCACCTCTTCATGGAAAACCCAACCTGACTACGCCTGGTTTTGAAAACCCCAAGCAAATGGCTGAGGTTTTTCCCTCAAGATGGGAGCTCACTCAGTGGTGAACAGTGAAGACAATGAAGAAGGTATTTTAGATAATAAGACAGTGGCTAAGCTCAGGCTAAAGAGGTAACAATTCTAGCTGTCTTTTTTTGCTTTCATTCTCTTTTTTTTTAAAAAGCACTGCCATCATTATTTTATATGCTAGTGTCTGTCAAACTGGATCATCTAGAAGGCTGAACTTTTCACAGCCAATTTGTTATGCACTTGCCACTTGTTTAATGCTGACAGAAAAAACATTTCCACAATCAAACTGCTGTCATTGTTTCTTCTCTTCCGCTACGATTTACTAAGATGATGGTAATGCCTGCAGCTGCCAATAGGCCTCCTGCAGAGTGAAAATCCATTTAAGACAGGCAGTAAGCCAACTCATAAATACAGTACCAGAAAATCCCTGAGAAGTGTGGCTTTCCTTGTTCTAATACTGCTTTAGCTTTAACTATATGGGAAACATCTACACAATCTCACTGTTACCTCAGCAAAGTCTTATCTAAGAAACTGCAGTTCAGGTGGAGCCATAGGATCGTGCCTTGCCCCAAACCATTACCCTGCATTCACAACCTCCTTCCCATTGCTGCTCTTGCATCCCTCTTGGTGGCAAGCTCACAAGCACAGTGTAAACCAACAAAAGTCATGGGGAAAGCTCTTACTCCAACTACTGTCCTATAGTCTCTTCTCTGATAGCCAAATCATCTGAAGGGCAGCACTTCTATTTTTTCTTATCATAGAATCATAGAATTGTCAGGGTTGGAAGGGACCTTACAGATCATCTAGTTCCAACTCAACTGCCATGGGCAGAGACATCCTCCACTAGATCAGGCTGCTCAGAGCCCCATCCACCCTGGCCTTAAAAACTTCCAGGGATGGGGCTTCCATCACCTCTCTGGGCAACCTGTGCCAGTGTCTCACCACCTCATGGTGAAGAACTTCTTCCTAACATCCAATCTGAACTGATCCATCTCTAGCTTTAATCCATTCCCCCTAGTCCTATCACTACCCGACATCCTAAAAAGCCCCTCACCAGCTTTCTTGTAGGCCCCCTTGAGATACTGGAAGACCACAATAAGGTCTCCTCAGAGCCTTCTTTTCTCCAGACTGAACAACCCCAACTCTCTCGGTCTGTCTTCATAGGAGAGGTGCTCCAGCCCTCTAATCGTCCTCGTGGCCCTTGTCAGGACACGCTCCAGCAAGTCCATATCTTTCTTGTGCTGTGAGCTCCAGAACTGGACGCAGTACTCCAGGTGAGGTCTCACGAGAGTGGAGTAGAGGGGAAGAATCGTCTCCCTTGACCTGCTGGCCACGGACCTCTTGATGCAGCCCAGGACATGATTGGGTTTTTGGGCTGCAAGTGCGCACTGACGGCTCATGTTGAGCTTCTCATCTACCAGTACCCCGAAGTTCTTTTCTTCAGGGCTGCTCTCAAGCCAATCACTGCCCAGCCTACATCTGTGCTTGGGATTGCCTTGACTCAGATTTGCCAGTCCTGACAGTCTGGTGGGGAGATATCCCCAGAGGAAACTGGGTTTGAGAGTCTGATAGTGATGCCTGAAGGAGAGGCTAACCAAAGCAGGGTGCAGCACCTATTAACTAAGGACAGGAAAGAGAGAGGACCTACAGCATTTTGTAGTCAGGCAGCCTGCCCAGGCAGCGACCGTGAAACAGGACCAGGCATGGTTAGCTGAGTGATGTATTCCCCTTACTTAGAGCTACTTTTCCTTACAGCCCTCATTTTGGGCTGTGCGAAGACACAGGTGCAATGCTGCGAGCACAGCTGTTTGCTGAAAGCAGTGGTACTGTTGCGGAGGAAAAAAAGCATTGGTGCAAAGAGCTGTGTTCCAAAGATATGCTCCTGAGCAGTTAGTAACAGTGACATAAATGTTCAATGATGTTAACTCATCAATTTTTCTAGCTGAGATGGAAATCCCTGCTTCTTAAGTGTCTTGGAAATTCTCAACTTCAGTGAGCACATAGAAAAAGAGGTTGGAAAAGCTGAGTAAACATCCAAAGAAATCTTTAAGTCTTACAAATTTTTGGTGATTCTCAGCTCTGGTGTAGCTCTAAATCAAAGCTAAAATACCAAGGAGAAACATAAAATTATTTTTCTTAATGTAATTTGCAATATCTTAATATGTAAATATTACATGAAATGGCATGAATAGGCTTGTATATGACCTAATTTAGTTCAATAAGACAAAAACATAGTTTTAGAGGAAGGAACTGAAACAAACTGGTTAGATTAATCTGTGTTGTCGAGACAGCTTTAATGTTGCCTCCTGAATATCTCTTGTGTTTCAGTAAAGATCTGCAGTTTAAAATAGAGATAAGAATTACCTAGACACCTTTCCAAAGCAGTTGGAGTTGTGTGAGTAAGAACAGGAGAACAACGGCTAAATCAGGATAGCTCAAGCACCTGGAACTGTAGGATGGATGCCATTTTTGAGGCACCTCAGTGGGCTATTTTCTAAAGGTGTTAGCCTTCTCTCAGAATGGCATGGCAGCAGCAAAGAGCCTGGGCCTGCTCAGGGCATGTTTGAAAGACTTTTTGTGCTGCCAGAAATTATTGTTTCCTCTTACCTTCAATTCTGCCTACAAGACAACAGTAGGAAAAATATTTGAGCCAGAAATAGAACTGTCCTATGGGCAAAATTCAGCCTCCATGACAAAAGTTAGACCACTCTCAAATCAATTTGTGATTCAACTAAATGTTTGATTTATTTCGTCAGAGTTTTGCTTTAATTACAACCAGCTTACGTATATTTAAGCTTTACTGCTTCTCCAAGGTGGGAAAAATGATGCATGAATTCATTTTAGTACGGACACTAAACTGAGCTGCCCTAAGCTAAAAGCAGCTCTGAACAGTTACAGAGAAAAGGCCTCAGTGAAAACAGATTGAAAAACAACTAAACCCTGCCCGGAATGAAACTATCTACACACACTCTACATAGTGCATTCATGTTTCTAATTAAAATTATTATCACATAAAAACCCAATTGCAACCATTTCTATCTTTGTTTTGCGGAAAAAGAAAAGAATCAAGCCTCCATTGTTTTTCACAGTGTCTGAAAAAAATGTGCGGGAAATTACAAAAGCGTACGTTAAATCCTTGGCAGTAGTCTAATGCAGTCAATTTGCCAGGTGTCACTATACCGAAAACCCAGCCACTGCCCTCTCTTCCAGGGAGATTTTACTTGTGTGGGTTGCTTGACTGCAGCACATATTTCACACTCATGGGAGACCTGTGTGATGGCCTCCATGGTCAGGTCCACCCCATCTTTAAGAAAAAGATTGTGCAATTACTTAACACCAAACCAAAAACTTACCCCACACCGCCATGAAAACAGCAAAAAAGACAGTAGCTCCATTGTCAAAAAGGTGTGTTACCTGAGGATATATTAACAGCAATTAATTTGTGATAGTGAGGCTTTATTTTCTATTTTCATGTAATAATTTTAATATGATCATGAGTGCAGCTGTCAGGACTTCAGCTTTCCTAACATGACCCCTGGCTGCTCAGACAATTTCTCTGTATTAATCCCAGGTTACCTGTCCTTGCTTCCACCCTCTAAAGGCTTCCTTTTTGTTCCTGAGTTTGTCTGGGAGCTGCTTGTTCATCCACAGAGGCCTCCTGACATTTTTGCCTGACATCCTCTTTGTTGGGATGCATCAGTCCTGAGCTTGAAGGGGGTGATTCTTGAATATTAACTAGCTTTCTTGGCCCCCTCTTCCCTCCAGGGCTATATCCCACAGTGCTCAGTCAAGCATATTCCTGAAGAGGCCAAAATCTGCTCTCCTGAAGTCCAAGGTAGCAAGCTTGCTGTGTGCCCTTCTTGCTGCCCTAAGGATCTTGAACTCCAGTGAAGGATGCCTTTGATCTTCGTGTTCCTCACCAGCCTCTCCTTGTTGGCAAGAACAAGGTCCAGCATATCACTTCTTCTCGTAGGCTTCTCTATCACTTGAGGAATGAAGTTATCATCAATGCATTTCAGGAACCTCCTGGATTTTTTACGCTCTGCTGTGTTGTCCCACCAACAGATACTGGGGGGGTTAAAGTCCTCCATAAGTACCTGAGCTTGTGAACATGAGACTGCTCATATCTGTCTATAGAGGGCCATGTCGACTCTGTCTTCTTGTTCAGGTGGCCTGGAGTAGGCCCCTATTATAATGTCACTTGTTCCTGCCCTCCCTTTAATCCTGACCCATAAATTGTCAGTTGGCTTCTCATCCATCCCCAGGTGGAGCTCCATGCGCTCCATCTGGTTGTTGTCATGGAGGGCAACACCCACTCCTTGTTTCCCCTGCCTGTCCTTCCTAAAGAACCTGCACTCCAGCCATGGAAGCCACCCCACCATGTCTCCATGATGCCAATAAGATGTCAATAAGATCATAACTCTGTAGGTGTATGCATGCCTCTAACTCCTCTTGTTTATTCCTCATGCTCCATGTGTTTGCACAGAGGCACTGAATTTGGGCCCCAGATGAAGCTGACTTACTGACTTTCAGACCCAAAGTGTTCATTTTATGGAGCCACGTACAAACGATGGATCATAAGATAAAGGTTGATGCCAAGGACACCGTAGCACATGATTGAGGACATGACCTCTGGGACTGCTGAAGCTCTAAGTGCAAATTGCATTCAAGTGTTTTACGACGAAACTGAGTCTTGGTAAAAGACAATGAATGTTAATATTGGCTGAACTTGATCTGTCCTTTCAAGATTTTATCTATCCAAACTCACTAAAGACAAATGCAAAAGGCAAAATCTATGCTTTTACCATGAAAGTTTTTCTATTTGCATAGTTTAAAAATGTACCTTGGCATAAACGCAGCTGTCTGACAACCTCATGAAGGGACAGTATTTGTCACATATAGGACACATTATAATATCTGTAGCTTGGCAGACTTCTTTACTGGAATAATAGAAGAGATAAAAATTAATAATTTAATGCACAACAACCAGTCTTAAAATAGATTGATAAGTTTCACTAATATTCAGTTACTTCTTGAACAATACTGATTCTGTAACTGAAACCAAGATGTTCAGAACTGCATGTGTGTAATTAATATTTGTTTACTGTCTAAGACTTCAGAGTTTACACTCATAAAGACAGTTCTTCTGGGCCAGGCTAGCAGTATCTCTTTATCATTTCCAGCTTCTCCTTGAGTTAGAAGTAACCTTTGGTAGGAGGAGGGTGAGGATGATTGCAGATGAAGTTAAATTCTACTTATTCTTGTGACTTAAGTGTGCAAAGATATAGGGGTGCAGCAGCCAGCAGAAAGTCCAGGGGGTTCTTGACGTCAAGAGTTCCTCCCTGCCCCACCTGTGGTGGATCTTTGATAAAAGCCTTGAAGAGAATGAAAATTCCCCACTCCTCTGCCAGCATGTTACAACGGTAAGGAAGGAGCCCTCCTTTTTCCCCACTTCGTGCTGAGTTGCCAGCACCATCAGCAACTGGAACGGGGTGAGAATATTGCCTCCCGTCCCAAATCAGGAGCACAAAGCAAGGGAAGCTCTATTCTGGGTATCTTGTTAGAACCAAGCAGAGTCTTTTTCTGAGCATTCAACAGTTCAAAATGAAATAATTAACAATTCATATGAAGATCTCTTGAATTATTCATAACAACCCACAGCTGTAATTTCCCTTATAAAACTGCATACGTTACCTGACTTGGCAGTGGTTTAGAGTGGTGACTCCATACAAAAAGACAAACAATCCAATGAAGGCAGCTGGGAAGAGCATCCCCGTGTACCAGCCTAACCAGGCAAAATATAGCCCAATTTTCTCACCAAAGTACCGTCTGTTTCAAAACACAACACAGCAAAGTTACCTGCTAATTAGAATAAGTCTGTTTAATCTTGCCTGTTAATAGAAAATAAATATTTCTATCATATTTAAAGAGTAGATTAGAGAGCAGTCAGAATTTCCCAAAGAAAAAGCCTGCAACTAGGCTTCTAAATACACGCTTAAGTACATGCCTCATGAATGAGCTTAAAAAATGAGTTAAAAAGTTCACTAACCACGGTTTACAGTGGGATGAGTGGAGATCTCACAAAAGAAACACTGAGTGCATTTTAAAAAGCTAGTTCTTTGTGAAAATGATGGCTTTCTTTGCCTTTGGGCTGTGTAACTGTAATTTCCAAATAAATACACTGAAATCAGTTTAATCCCTAAAAACAGTGCAACAGGAAAAATTATTTGAGCCCAAATTATTTCTAAGAAATTAATTAACCAGAGGTTATTCTCCAATTCAGTTTGTTTTCATTTAATTATTTCTTTTCCAGCTCAATTCCTGGGAAACAAATTTATGATTCTACCACAGGTGGAAAATAAAATGCAACTGAGGTACAACAAATGTCTTTATGTATCCTCTTGCACTGATTTGATGAAAGTAGTCTGAATTAATTCCAGTTTGTTAGCTAAATTGCTTAAAAATTGACAGCAAAATGTCCAGGAAGCTCATATTTTCTACATATTCATTAACATTTTTCCTCCTCTCAAAAACAACTGCACCTTTATTTATGTGTTAAAGAATACATCAAGCGCACAAAAATCGTGCTGAACTCATCAGCATAAGAGCAGGTTCATGCACTGTCCTGTGATTGATAGTCTTGGGCACAGTAGGCTGATGATCACATTAAGATGCTTTACAAATCAATATGCAATTATCATCATTACAAAGAAGATGTTAGGAGATTATTTGCAATGTTAGTTTTAAAGAATGAGATGATGATATTCCTGCAGACAAACTTGCATATCAACAGATTTTGAGAATAGCTGCTGATGAAAATCCACTTTTACCCTAATGATGCAGCTTCTGATCTGTCCAGAGAAAAAGCATGCAGTGAGACAGCACTGCTGGCTCCTTTATGTTACCAGAAAACACCTTTGGTCAAACTTTCACAGTGAGGAGGAAAAGACACATGATGGGCTCTAGGGCTGAAGGTGGAGGAGAAGAGAAAGAAACACTTGATCTGCAATGGATGAAATTATTACTTTTGAAAGGGGTATAAAAAATTTCCATGGTGAGCAATATCCATCTGGGCTGAGCTCATGTTCTTCTGAATGATGCTGACCTACACTGATTATTACCATTTGAGTTTACCAGCTCTGTATGGGAAACCAAATATTGTCCTGTTATTTTTATTCTCCTGCCATTGATCAGAGACTCAAATTTACAGGCTAAGGAGGTGGTAAGCTAATGATAACATGCTCAGTTCTGACAAGGGCAGCAGCTCTGATTGTAAAAAATGCACTGGAAACTGCTTTTTGTGCCTAATTTAAAGAGCGTTAGTGAACCCTTTGGCCTAATTATTTTACTAACACCTAGGATGTCAAGCTGTGCCTGCACCACTGAAAAGGCAAACTCGTATTTTGAGCTTACTTCCACTGAATATTTATGACCTATTTTTCTCTCTATACACAGTTCAAAGTGGTAAAGTAAATCTAACATTCACCAATATTTATTTTTTTATTTCCCTGCCTACATTCAAGGATAAATGCTTCCTCATTATAGCCCCCAAGCCAACAAACATTTGCGACAAACTTCATCTCTTACCCTGTTGAGACTTTCAATCTGACAGTGTAAATCATAGTACTCTTTTTTGATATCATAGTACTATTTTTTGATATAGAGATCAAATAGCTTCACCCTAGATGAAGATGCAAGCAAGGTTCAGTGTGTGCATAAAGAAGAACGGACACGATGGGGAGCACCCCAAATTTCTGCAACGTAAGGAAAGAGCTTCTGAGGCCATTTGTGTTTGGTTTTAAAAATAATTGCAGTATGTCAACATCATTTTTGTACATATTGGTTTGAATATGGACAACAGCCTCAATCTTCCACTATTGCCCTATGCTTCATAGCTGGTATTCCATAGGCTGTACTACAGTAATTTGCATCAGGATCAATTTAGTATTTAATTTCTTCTGGTCCTGTAGTTAGCATATTTTTTTTTCTATAAGTCTCTGCTTGGATGCCACTAGGCTGAGTGTTAGAGAAACAAACTATGACAGTAAAAAGGTCTTTGGAAAGCACAGGGTGCCATATTCAGAGCAGTTCCACGTTTATTCCAGTCCATTATTTGGGTTACCCTGGACCATCATGATCCTTGGGAGATGAAGATGGTTTAGAGATACCTTTGCCACTCTTGCCCTCTAGGTTGCACCATAACCAAAGAACAAGTTCCTTGTATTTTTCTCTGTCACTATATATAGAAGAGAAATATCATACCTCCACAGTGATGGCAGTTCTCTTACCTGCATGCTGGCACTTTAGCCAGAACTCAGTAACATACACGAAGAATTCCAGGAATTCTTTTTCTAGGGTGCATCACTGTGCATTACTTATACCTAAATTTCACCTGTTATCACTCTGCTCATTGAAGTCCTCTTGGAAATTTTCCAGCACTGATAACATTTACATTTTTATTAACATATTATTTTTTTAACATATTACCATCCAATTTTCCAGATTGTTAATAAGAAGAGAAAAAAAATGTTTTGTGTCTGTGATGGCTGCCACAAAATGATTCCTCCACAACTAACCTAAGAAGCAGAAGTATAAAACCCCCCAAACACGATATTAAAAAATAAATAAGAAGTTTTCAGTATTAAATGATGAGGTACAAAGACAACACTTTGTTTTCTAAAGCATCTTAAAAATTACATCACTCAGTAAAATTTTTCTTATTATATTTCTGTATGAACTTTTTCTCCATGGAAATTGAACACCTCCTATTTTATGAAATTTTTCCTATCCTCATATATGCTATACTATTAGAATAATAACAAAATATTTCAGCTTCTCAGTTTTATGATAGCATGCATACTAGCCTTCCAATATCATCTACCTTAATGGTGAACTATTTGTCCCCTCACACCATTCCAATGTTGAACTGACTTAATTGAGCTACGATTTCAAACTCAGTATTTATCAATAAGGCATATTTTTGAGAAGTATTAAACTATGAAGTCTTATTTCAGACTCATAAAATGTGATATTGGATTCTTCTGTGTTTAACGACCTTCATTACATAATCTTTTGCTTTCAGGTTGTCTAGAAGGAAGTCATAGAGCTAGAATATAGACAGATTTGGACTCAAGCCAAGAACCTATCTACCTTCATTAATCCTTGTGCAGGTCAGAATAAAACTCTATACAGCAGTTTTTACATCACAGAAATGAGTTGTGAGAGAGATAGTTTTCCGACAGGTGTTCTGGATGCATGAAGCTCTCATCTTATGTAGGAGCAAGGTGGTGGGGAAGAAGGCCTTACAGGAGATTGCAATCAAGTAAATTAATATAAATATGGAGAAAAATGTAAGGTAGCGAGGCATTATTTCTGCTTTCAGGTTCATTGAGCTAGCTTTACAATCACTTTATACACCTAGTTTTCTCGTTCCTTTTTTGTCCTATAAACAATGTGCACAAGCAGCAGAA